AGTAAGCCCCCACCGCCCCCACCGCCCCCACCACCACCACTCTTATAACCTTGTAATAAGCAAGCCAGGCCAGCCACAGCACATCGCAATCTTCCCCTCTGTTCTTTTTTTCTCCCGTCTCGTTCCTTTGTTTTCCCTTTGAATCCCAACAATTGCAGAGCTTAATTTTTGTGTCGAGGTAGCACTGCATTTTCGTAAAGTTTCCTCTTTTATTTGGAATGCGAGGGTGGACACTTTCCAACTGTTGCAAGAGATTTATTTATTTTTATATTAATGACACGGCTCAGGCCTGTTCTAACCACTTGATATATCAGCACTCCAAAGCAATCCCGGGAACTGTTTTTTAAAATACAGACATTCAGTTGAAGTTTTTACACTTTTGCATGTGTTGCAGCCCTGCTAGTAAATCACCACCACATCATAACACCGTCTACTTTGGCTGAACGTCCTCCCAACTCAGTGCCGTGTAGCCGCCTTGCTGAAGGCCTGCAGTTTATTCCGAGCAGGAGAATCACAGTGCCCAGGGATTAATGATTTTGCATGCCCGGGGTAGCTAAGATTACACAGCGACCTTTGTGCTCTAACTTGANNTGTGATATTCTCCCCTCGAAATAATCAGCATGCTGAGATTTATGTGCCCCCCTACCCTTCTGTCTACACCGGCGTTCTGAGGAGTACAGCCGTGAGCAGCCTCTAGGTGTGTTTTTTTTTTTCACTTTTAATGTTACCGGATTTTGAACACCAACCTCCTTCCTGAGAATTAGAACAGTCTTGTTTTGATGAAAAGTTGACTTTGAGCAAAGGGACTAGTGTCTTTGGCCTGAAAGTTGGAGCGGCTCATAACTTCCGATGCCTTAAAGGCTCCACAGCTTCTGAGAAATGAGAAGTTTATGTTAGAATTCAGTGAAAACAGAGTGTGTATGTTTGTGTGTGTGTGTGTGTGTGTGTGTGTGAACGAGAGAGGGGGAGAGAGACAGAGGCGAAGAGAGCGTGTGTGTGTTTGTAGCTTAGCACTGACCGGTGTTAGTTTTCCTGGAATGAATAACTTGAACGAGTGTAGTGTAACCACGCCACGTTAGTCATCCTCTTTAGCAGGGCCTGCCTTTAGATCCCCTCTCTATGCCCCCCACAGGGCCACGAAAACAACCTCTAACAGCAGCTTGACGTATTTCTCACTTCTGTCATATCTGTTCACTATTCCCGATCAACACGAGGGATATCAGACAGAGCAGGAACACATATTGATCCACAGCAGCCAGTTTTATTTCCCCCTTCAGTTGTGCTGTATGTTTCCTGGGCCTTCCCTTTAGCGTGTGTGTTTGGCGGTCGGACTCGGCTAGAGGTTACGCTAATTGGAGCGGTGGTGTCGTTAGCAGGTGGCATCGATCGACCTCGTCGATAGCCACTTTTGCTCCTGCACCACCCTCCGAAACTATTAGTTAAATTTACATCTGGGATTTGAGGCAGTCAAAGGTCAAACATGCTCAGCTCGCTCTTCTAATGCCTCGAGTCACCAAGTGCCCCTGTGTTAGTGTGTGTGTCTGTGTGTGTGTGTGTGTGTGTTGTATTAGTTTCTTAGTTACATGCATTAGTTATGTTTATAATCCTTGCAAATGCAATTCTTTTGCACAGGAGTTGCACAGAAAAATTCCCATTTCCAAAACACTTTCAAGATCACCATGAAAGTTTTTTTTTTTAGTATTGATAATCAGTGAATAACTAATATAATCAAATGGAAAGTATTAGCAAGGTTTAAGCTGCATGTGTTAAGCTTTTC